GGCTCTTGAGCACCCCACTGTCTCAATTTCAATTCAAGTGGCTGCTCGGGGTGGGCCAACTGGAGAAAAGGGGAAACTGCTGGGCCACACCAGTCGCCTGAACCGTTGGGCACCAGAGCGACCTTCGGCTCTACCGCACCCACCGGCACACAATCCTAATGTCCCAGAGCCGTCCCAACACACGGTTCCAGTACCGCCGGTACCGTGCTGGAATCCTGGGGCCTCTGCAGAGCTACATCCTCAGCTTTTTCTTATTTTCAGCCAGGTTCCCACCAGATAGCCCAGGCTGGTCTTGAACTTGCGATCCTCCTGACCAGAAGGAGGCTTGTTTTAAAAACAGGCACTTCCGGTGCATTTGGGCCTCACCTGGCTTGTCACTCACTGGACCGGACTAACGGAGCAGAAAGCCAGGCATTACCAGCCCGATTTATCATTTACAGAGGGCGACTGAGAAGACACCTGTGGGTGTGGGTCCTGGGCAGGGCAGGTGGGACAGGGCAGGGCTGTGCCAGTACAGGGGACAGGGGCAGGAAGGTGGAGCCCCAAGAATGAGTCTGCAGAAGAAGCTGTCGGTCCATAAATACATGCTTGTTTATTATATAGGGAGGGGGTATGTTTCTTTGGGGATAAATTCAAGAACAGGTATGAACTTTATTCATTTGTGATGTCTCTTCCCTGGCAGGCAAGGCAGCACGATCTAAGAAAACTTAAAATAATCCTGTTTAAAAAAGTTACCTTGCAGCAGTTCTGAATGAGGGAACAGAATTCGAAACAAAAGCCACAATGATCTGTCTGTTTCTGAATACAGAAGCCGGGGAAGGGATTTCCACCAGTCATTTGAAAGAAAGGCGAGATTTCTGCATAGTGTTGGGGAGGAGGATGGAGGCTCTGTGGGGGCCTCTTAGCCCACAGATGCCAAGATGATGTCGACTGGCAGCTCCTCTGAACTTCGAGCTGTCACCTGCATTGTAACTGTGTCCAAAAGCAGCAGCCTCGAGCGCACAAGGATGTCATGACCACCCCGGAACACACCTGGCAGGGAAGAGAGAGGTAAGACTGTGTGAGGTGGAAGGGCTGCAGGCCAGGCTTAGGCTGCTGTTTGCAGAGCTGATCAAGGCGGCGTTGGAGAGCAGTGGGGTGAGGTCTCCAAGCCAGGTCTACAAAAGTCATTTGGCTTCCCTGAGCTCCAAGACTTGCAACCACAGAGTGGAGGGAATAAGGCTATCATCCAGCTCCTGCCTAACCCAAGTGAATTCATGGAACGTAAGGCTGGTGCCTGATGTCACAGAGGTGCTCACACAGGGACAGTCCCACCAAGACAAACCACAGAGCAGATGGCTGCAGGGCCCAGGGGACCAAGCTGCTTCAATGTGGCCAGAAAGACGGGGGTGGGGGCTGTCAGCTGTGAGCAGGCATCTGCCCAAGCCTGTTTATAAACAGTCAAAGTTTAAAAAGTCCCATTTCCTTCCGCTCGGTGTTGTAGGTATCACTGTACTGCACACAGCAGTTACCTCAAAGAGAAGTGCAGACATGGAAATACTCACATGTGAAATTCTAGGGGGCCAGGGATTTGGCTCAGTGTTGCCACCACCTGCCTCACAAGCGCAAAGGCCTGAGTTAAATCCCCAGTACCAGCGTGGAGGCTGGGAGATGAACTCTGGGGTTTATTATATTCTTCAATCTCTGTGTATGTTTGAAAATTTCTAAGTGGAAATGCTTGAGTACTCATTGGTTGATGCAGGGGATCTGACTCAAGGCCTCCCACATGCTACGTAGCTGCTGTACCATGGAGCTCCATCCCTGGCCCTAAATGCCTTTTGTTAGAAAAACAGCAACCAGAATCAGCTGTGGTGGCGCAAGCCTGTAATCCCAGCACTTGGGAAGCAGAGGCAGGATCGCCATGACTTTGAGGCCAGCCTGGGCAACAAAGTGAGATCCTATCTCAAAACAAACAAACAAACAAAATGATCAACCATGCCAGTAGACACTTAGACAAAGAAAAGTAGACATATACTCAACAAGAAATACAAATGGAAGATGGATAACTTCATTCCAAACAGAAGTGGACATTAAAACTACATGAAGCCAGGCGTGGTGGCGCACACCTGTAATCTCAGCGCTCAGGAGGCTGAGGCAGGAGGATCGCTGTATGAAGATAACATTTTTCACCCAGACCGGCAAAAGTCATAAAGTTTGATGCTATCTTTTGTTGTCAACAGTGTGGAAAGAAAGGCATATGGTTCTTTTTTTTTTTTTTTTTTTGGTACTGGGAATCGAACTTGGGACCTTTCGTTTGCAAGGCAGGCGATAGAACCACTGAGCTAAATCCCCAGCCCTAAGGCATATAAGGACACCTGGGAATTATTTATCAAAAGAAGAAATGCCAATCAGTTTGACCTGGTCATGTCCTGGGAAATTTAAGAGATATTCTCAGTGTACACATGAGAAATAAGTGTGAGTGATCAGTCATTGTAGAATTATTTGTGATAACAAAAAATTGGAAACAACTAAATGTCCATCAGTAGGGCCCAATTCCATAAAATGCAGTACATCTATTCAGTGCACTACTGGGCGGCCATAGAAAGGGATTAGGAATTCATGCAGTTTGGGATAATGAAAAAGTTCTGGAGATGGATGCTGCTGGTGGTGACGCAACAGTGTGAATGTACCTAATCCACTAAACTGTGTACTTAAAAAGTAGTAAAATTTTTAGCCAGGTGTGGTGGCATATGCCTGCAATCCGAGCACTCTGGGAGGCTGAGGCAGGTGGATTACAAATTCAAGTGCAGCCTGGACAATTTAGCAACTTAGTGAGATCCTGTTTTAAAATACATATAAAGGGCTAGGGAGGTAGCTCAGTGCAAGTGCCCTGGGTTCAATCCCTAGTAACACCCTCTGCGAAAAATTTACATTTTTTTTCTTTGTTCCTTTTTGTGGTCTTGATTATTGAACCCAGAACCTTGGCAATGAGCTACATCCCCAGCCTTTTTCATATATTTTTAAAATTTTGAGACAGTCTTGTTCATTTGCGAAGTTGTCCAGGCTAGGCTCAAAGGTATGATCCTCCTGCCTCACCTTCCCAGAAGGAAGCACTATCACGCTTAGCTTGTTATATATATTTTACCATAATTGAGAGATAAAAGAATAATAAAGCTCTATGTATTGATAAGGATTGTCCCCAGGAACGCCATAAAGTGAAAAGTCAAGTGCAGAACAACATATACCATTTATATATCCGAGTTTAACAATGGAACATATCACTATTACCTTCTTTTTGGAGTCCTGGGGATGGAACCCAGGCCTCCCACATGAGGCAATCACTCTACCACTGAGCTAACCCACAGCTCTTTTTGAGATGTGGTCTCAGTAATTTGCCCAGGCTGGGCAGACACTTTCAGTCCTCCTGCTTCAGCCTCCCAAGTAGTTTAGGTTACATCTTCCTATGTTTTTATAGCCATAAAAAGATTGAATGATACACAGGCATTGTTATAACAGTAACACTGTCACCTGCTGGATGGTGAAAACAAAGGTAAGGAAAGAGGATGTCTTATCACAGGTCGTTTTTTATACTTCATAATTTTTCCCCTTTTTTGTGTTACTGGATTTTTTTTTTTTTTCTTTCTGGTACCAGGGATCAAACTCAGGACCTTGTGCTTGCAAAGCAGGCACAGTGCTATTGAACTAAATCCCTGGCCCTTTGCGGTACTGGATTTTTTTGTTTTGTTTTGTTTTGTTTTGTTTTCTGAGACAGGGTCTCACTATGTAGTTGAGACTGAAAGGGGAATCACTATGTAGCCCAGGCTGGTCTTGAACTTGTAGCAATTCTCCTGCCTCAGCCACCCGAGTGCTGGGATTACAGGTGTGTGCCACCATGCCCGGCTATGGTACTAGATTTTGAACCCAGGGTCTCTGCACTGAGCCACATCCCAGCTTCTATTTAGAAACAAGGGCTCGCTAAGTTGACCAGGTGGGAGTTGTGATCCTCCTGCCTTGGCCTCCAAATGCTGGGATTACAAGTGTGTGAGATTTAGAAGCAGTGGACCCTGACTCGTGTCCCAGTGGGGTCCCCAGCCCTCCCACGGGAAGTGCTGCTCACCTGCCAGGAGCAGTGTGTGCGTGTTCTTGTTGTCTGGAACTTTGTCCGACCTCTCACACGCATGCATTCCCAAGAACTTCACAATGTTGCCTACGGCCTCTGTTGGACAAAACAGCGCAGTTCAGCCATATAGCTTGTTTTTGTGGCACTGGAGACTGAACCCAGGGTCTGTGTTGGCCTCTCTGAGCCCTAAATCTCGTCCCCAGGTGCTGAAGGCTCAGGGAAGTGGCCCTGCTCAGGCAGGAACAGCAGCCCAAGGGTCTGGAAGGCAGGTGGCGGAGATGGCAGCTGGGCCCTTACCTTCCAGTGTCTTGATGGTGGACAGTGTGAATGTCTCCTCCTTCTCGAACTCGTCCCCCACCTCATCCCAGGCAGCTTCGAAGTTCACTTTCATGACCTTTTGGATGTGATCCGCCACATTGACCTCCAGGTCCTCCA